TGCATAAAAAATATAAAAACTTTTTATATATTGGTTTATCAAATTAAAAGTATGATTATTTAGTAACCAATTTATTTCATAATATTTTATTTAAAAATAAAGTTTTTTTTAAAAATACTCATTATTTTATCGATAGTGAACATAATTAGAAGAAAATATAGATTTTATTACTACAAATTAAATTTAGTGAATTAAAAATAACTTTTCAAAAAATATCAGTATGATATATCGTGCAATATTGTATCTGGAAGATATGATACAAAATGTCTCATGATTTGACAACAGATAACAAAGAAAGAGCAATAAAGATTCATAAGAAAAACAAAAAAAAAAACAAAAATAGAATAAATCGCTAGAAGGTAATGAACGAAATTAAAATAATAATTACTATAAAGAACGTATCTACGAATAATGCGATAAACTTACGAACCTTGGACTGACCGTACATTCATTAAGTAATTCATTTTCACCAGCTTGTTCGTCTTCACTGTCAGGTCCATTACTCCAGGAATGATTTCTAAGAATATTTCCTCTAGATTCATCTTTTGCAATCCTTTTTCGTGGCTCCGACATTTCGATTGTTTCTTGTCTCGACAGTTCGATTTAAATTGTCGATTAAAAGTAATTTATCCCGCGGGATTATCGTCCCAGAGAAATGATGAAAGGGAGAATTGTTCACATATGTCGATCTGTATACGAATAAAATTATTAAATGACATCAGTTTTTCGTAGAACTGAATAGAGGAAAAACAGTGTACGTACCGATTTGTTACACACAATGAAAGACAATTGCAATAATCCGATGTTGTTAACAGCGGCCATCGCAGGCCATCCAATGCACGCACTCAACTTGACTGATCAGCGCGCTATTTCGGCCATTTGTGAAACCAGCTGATCAAGTGGTGGGGATACGTGGTAGAGAGGGCGCTAATCGTTCAGTGGTAAAGTGAATGTTCATTGCAAATATTCAACGTCACATTTTTAACGTATTTATACAAGAGTGCAAAGGTTTTATTATGTGAAAAAGTGAAAAACATATGGGAATAGTAGAAGATATTTAAATAAACTGCTTACAAGGTTGGTAAATATTTACTGATAATTTTTATCTGTCACATAATAATTACCGAACAGTCGACGTATGATATCAATCTATCTAAACAATAAAGTATAAATTTACTTTAAATATCTACGTACAATGTACAAAATTTTATCACTAATCAAATAAATACAGCAAACATTCGTATAAAAAATGTATAATTAGTATCTATATGGAATTTAGGTTTAGAAGAGCGGGACAGTGAACAATGCGCATTTTCCCGCGCATTTATTCGGTCAGTTTATACAACAATATGGCGGAACTTCAAAACGCGAAGAGAAAGAAGAGGTGGAGTAGAAGAGGGAGCGATAATCAATTATCAAAGGCCGAGGAAAGAAAAATGGAATCATACGATGCAGGAGGAAAAAAAATTGCACTCGACGTTCCAAGGTAAGTGGTCAACGATATAACGTTTCTTCTTTTTCATATTGCATGCTTGTCTCCGTGAGCGAAACGAATTTGGCGAAAATTCGAAGCGATCGAAAAAAATAAGCTTCTTCTTCTTCGATCGTTATGATCGTTGGATAAAATCGAAATCGGGACACGAGTGAGAAAAGAGAAATTTCGTTGATATCGTGACACGCGGATAGGCCGCGTGCAGTGATCGAATGACGACAGGGGGGTGGGTGCGCGCGTTCCTCTGTTCGAGAATCGGTGCGCGTTGCACCCTTCTGCGCCAGCGTATATCAGACTTCGCAACACACACGAGTAGCGTGTCCTGCCGCGCGCGCCAAGTGTCTAGGAGAGGAAACGCAGCGACAGAGCCGAGCTAAACTCGGCTTTCCTCGACCGACCGTAGGCGCAGTCTCTCATCGTCAGTCATTCTCGCCCCCAGCTTCGAGGGAGCACGCTTCCGGAGTCAGATCTATCTTGGAGTGTGTCCACCTCGTCTCAACCCTTAGCCGTCCTCGGTCACTGACCCGATACATCGGCTCGGGTCTTCTCGCAATTCACGCGATCTCTCACAGTTCGGTGCCGTGTTCGGTGTGGTCGCGAGAAGTGTCGTCGTCTGCGAGGTGCTGGATTTCGCGATATCGCTGCACAAGAATAGATAGAAATTATTTCGGTGCGATATACGTATACATATATCGTTGTTTCTTCTTTTTTCTCCATCGGTCCATTCTCATTCCGTTCGTACGTACATACCAACCCCTCTCTCTGAACTTTGTCGTTCTCACTCTCGCGCGATTATCGGTGGCTCGAGTCGCGACGCGCGACTGTACGCGAGACGAGTCTATCAGAGAAGCGTCGGGAAGCATGGTGGATCAACAGCAGCCGGACCAGCAACAGGAAGCCGTGCCAAGCGTGGTGGAGTTGAACGTGGGCGGTGTGTTTTATACCACCGCTCTGACCACCCTTACCCGGGAGAGCGATTCTCATCTGGCCGCATTGTTTTCGGGGAAAACGCCGGTAGAGAAAGATGCGAAGGGGAAATATTTTCTGGACCGGGACGGGGTACTGTTCCGTTACGTGCTTGATTTTCTGCGCAATCAAGCATTGGTCCTGCCGGAGGGGTTCCGGGAGAAGGAGAGATTGAGGCAGGAGGCGAATTTTTACGGTCTGCCCGGATTGGAACGTGCCATTCTGGAGAACGGCAAGTCTTCCGGTTCCCTGACCTCTTCCGGGAAGAGAGCATCCGGACACATAACCGTGGGTTATCGCGGAAGCTTTGCATTCGGCCGCGAGGGTCTGGCGGATGTAAAATTTCGGAAGCTGTCGAGGATCCTTGTATGCGGTCGTGTGACCCTTTGTAGGGACGTGTTTGGGGAAACTTTGAACGAAAGCCGTGATCCGGACCACGGTACTACGGATCGTTACACCTCGAGATTCTTCCTGAAGCACAGCTCCATCGAGCAAGCTTTCGACATGCTTCAAGAGCAAGGTTTTAAGTTGGCCGGTAGCTGTGGTTCCGGCACAGCTGGCGGCAATTCGGAACAACTCAAGCCTGGAGTGGATTTTGAGGAGAATCGTTGGAATCATTACAACGAGTTCGTCTTTGTCCGCGAGTAAATACCACGCTTCGTTCTTCCTTGGTCTGAATTAGATGAACAAATGGGAATAGTTGTTGGGAATAGTCGGATGTCCTTTCGACACGATCCAATTCCGACATCGAAATAAAATTCTCCGATCTTCTCCGTCGCTGACCACGGCAAAGAGGGAATTGCCTTCCTGAAGACTTTTCTTTTTTTCGAAACGAGATAAAGCAACCGGTAGGACAAAGAGTAGATCAACTTTTTTTTTCCTCGTTACACACGACCATTGTGCATGTATTATTATTCGAATTCATCGAGCTGTTATTAGAACGTCGATGAATTCCTCTTCTAAATATTCTTCCACGAACGAATAGAATGGAAAGAATGTTGACCAAAGAGGTGGCACGTAACGTTTATACGTGGATAGAACCGAATGGACGAAATTCGAGCGGGGGAGTAGAGATCTTTATTGAAATTAGCAGACTCGTCTCTAACGCGTGTATTTCAACGTGGTGTTGAACATCGGTTGAAACACTTTGGGGAGGGATGAAACAAAGCCAACTTCACTTCGCTTAATTTTGCGGTAATTGGCGGTAGAGACAAAGACCAAAGAAACTTACGGAAGACTACGAAGAGAATAACACTGGATCGTCGAGTTTTTACGAGTTTGTTTCATCGTTTCCGTAGTTAACGAAGAATGTAAAAATTTTATCGATCCGTAAAAGCTCTCCTTGTTACATCGAAGAGGAAACGAAGGATTTTGAACAATAAGGAAAAATCAATATTTAATCGCCAGATTCGGAAAAAGTATGAAACGGAAATCCCTTCGCTCTTCTCTTCCCCGTTTCTTTTTCAAGATTCAAATATATTCGCTACATACTCTACAATTCATTCTTCGCGCTTAATCGTTCGCCCGCTGAATATTATGTTCTCCCAGATTGAATCGAAAAAACTTTTTCGCCTGGAAAAATATGATCTAGAAAATTTGGTATTGATGATCGGAGAGACACGTTGAGAATGCATTCTTCTTCCTTCATCGTTCGAGAAGAACAAGGCGGGATATTTCCAAGGATAGAACGAGATGGAATGCGTCTTTTCCGATTTTCCACTCGCCACAAGCAGATACAAATCAAAGAGGAAATTTTAATAAGACCAAGTAGCGTAAAGCCAATCGATGAAGTTATCTGACATTGAAATTATTTTAAAAACGGGTATCAAAACTGTTGTACGAAGAATTGTACGATTCGAAGAATTAACAGGGTGTACACCTTACGTAAATTTCTCTACTAAATGATTAAAAAAAAAAAAAAAAAAAAAATTTAGTTCATCTGTATCGATACATAACTATTATCATCTCGACAAAGCTGAAAGGAAAACGGAGGAGGATTGGATCGAAGATTCAGCTTCAGACAACTTCGCTGGTCGACTGTTCGAGGTTGAATTTGATATTGGACAGTTTGCGGGTGTTATATTGGAACAAGCCTCGTGCAACGTAAATTGTGTGTACGTACAAGCCAACAACGGTGTTGAACACATGTCGAGCGATTTCGAGTACGAACGCGTATATCGAGAACGCATCTCTTCAAATCTTCGTCCTTTGTTAGACTCTTTATTCACATGCGACTGGTCTTCGTTTTTCGCGTGCATGAAATTGTGCACTGTAAGTAATACAGAAATTACACTCGCTTTCGACATTTCCGCGTCGGCGTGTTTCTTACTTAACACTTTTTAGAGATGAAATAACGATTGAATTACACTTCTCACGTGTCGTGTTTGCGAACGTGTTCTCGCGCCTACGATCGTGCAGAAATTCGATCTAATTCGTCTCATTTTGATTAGAAACGTATCATCTTCGAAACTGTACTTTAAACGATTCGATTAATTCTTAGAGAACGCTCGAACAAGTTTTTGAACGGAAGAAACGGAAGAGAGAAACGGAATTACTCTGCGACGGATGGGCGGAACTTTGATTTTTAGACGAGTTTTTCTTCGCTTCTTCGCTCGCGGTTTACTTTAAGGTAAACTAAGTTCTCCGTAATTTTATCGACAGACTAGTTAGACTAGTTTGTTATCGCGAAATAACAATTTCTAAGATCGATCATATTCTAATATCGAATAAAAGAAATATTTTCAAAAATTCGTTCACTGGAATTTGAAAACAATTTGAATTACACACGTGTTGGAAATAAATTGAAAATATTTTTGCCGGAAAAGAATTCTTCGTTTCCAGAGAATTTCGTAGAAAAATTGTAATGTTTCTGGATTGGAAGAGATCGGAGAAGCAGCGAACGCACAGGTATTCTACGAAATTCTTTCGAAACGGCCGCAATTTTTCAACATGAACGCTCGCGATCGTGTTCCACGATTAAGTAAATTCTCTCCGCCCGAGAGAATTCAAATACCGCGCGAGTCGAACGAAAATTCGCAAAAAATTTTTCTTCATCCTTCCTACTCCTTCCTACCCGTTTTCCATTTCAATCGGCACGCACGCAACTTGAATTGATCACAGTTTCCGCGCGATCGTTTTCCACCGAGACAATCTTATCGCCGACTCACGCGAGCATAGATTCCTTTCTTCCGACACACTAGTTCTTATTAGATTCCGGATAGAATTATTTACGACGTCGTGTTGCGTTCGTTTCAAATCGACTGCTCGCGACCACGGATGCGAGTAACGGCGCGCGGATCGTTTAGATAGCTCGAATAGATTTGCAAAATGGTAGAACGTAAAACCGGATATCGAAAGCTCAAACGTTTCAAAGTTAAATCGGATAGAAAGGGAAAGAAGTAGCGATCGATACGATTCGTATGCTGATTTATTATTAACCCTCCATGTTACCACCTCCATTTTTTCCCCCTCGATATTTTGCTAAAAAATTTTAAATAAACTCAAAATAAATCCAACGATATTGCACCGCTATGTAAAAAGCAAAAGGGTTGATATTTCTATCAGAATTATTTAAATCAATCTTCGAATATATTTATTATAATCATTATAAATCGTTCGATTTTTCGAAACGGGATTTTCTTTTTTTCTCGATTTTTCTCGACATCGTAACCCTCTGTATCCTCGATACCACAAGTTCAGTTGCACGAAACGGAGGCGTAAAAAGCCTCTGCTCGGTTCGCGAGTCTTTCACCCGGAACATCGAGATTCGGAACAAGAACAAAGACGATCACACGGTTCATCGGCAACACGATGGCGTGTCAAAGGGCGCAAAGGCACGGACGGGAGAATCGGTAGAACTCGACGAGGAATCGACGATGTAAATCATCGGCTCGCCGCGAAACGCGAAAACGGGGTTTGGCCCCGTCCCTCTCCGCACAAAGCGTCACTTGCACGCCGGATAACCGCCCGCCATCATTTATGAGAGGATCGATGAAACGGTGCATCGAACGTTGGTTTTCGTACGGGACGGAATTCGTCTTCCTGTAGTAGGATCCGCCTTTTTCCAAACTTGATCTCGCTCGAGACGCGAAACGTTCGAGCGAAAATGTATAACGCAGGCCAGATGTGTCGAATCGAAAGTGTGAAATGTCGAAAGTAGGCGAAGCTACGTATTCAAATTTCACATATCATTGTCGATCATTTTATCGAATTCAATGGGATAGTTATTGTTAATTTAGTTAGAATTTTAGCGAGATGGAATTAACGTAGTTTCGCGTTTGATCGCATCGATTCTGCAAAAGGAATTTTTATCCTGTGATCTCTTTGAAACATTCGATAGAGCGTGGATATTTATGCGCGTTACGAGAAATTTAAAAGTAGTATAAAAAAAAAAAAAAATAGAGGAGATGCACGCAAATATGCAAATACATATAAAATATTTAAAAGGAACAAAATTTTTAATTCACTTTTTTTCGAGTATACTCGGATAAAAGTATGAATTTATGTAAAAGAAAGAGAGTAATTTCATATAAGCACTACCATCGATTATTTTATCGTTTAAAATTTCGTTTCTCTCGTAGAAATCTCTACAAGATTTACTACTTACATTTGTAAGTAATAAGTTTAAAATGACGTATGATCGATGGATAGAATCTGAAAAGGTACGAAGTGGAACTCGAGATAGGTCAGTGGTCAGATATCACGCGGGGAATTCCACGAATCATGCAAATCCAATTGGCCACATTCCCAATCCTGATGTACCTGGCGTGTCGGGCTAAGCTCGAAAGGATCCTCGATTCCTCGAGCACATCTCGACGGTATCGGATTTATCTCGTTTGACCCGTTCCGCGAATTTTTACAATTCAAAGATGAACGATCTGGAATATCACGCGGATGTTCGCCGACGAAAAAATCGACGAGGATTGAAATTTCTATTCTAATTCGTAGATTAGAGGCAAAAAGAATGTTTCGAAAACGAGTAAATCTAATAGAAACCGATCGAACGAATGACTGGCTCAACAGTTCTCCACGATTCTTGGAGACGTGTTCGCTCGAACGTCTCGTCTCTTCTTTCCTTCTTATCGAAATAAATTCACCGAATGGAAAAGTTGCGAGAACCTCTGACGAACAAACGCGCCTCGAGTGATCGTACGCGAATTTTATTGCACAATTATTACGTGAAGCCATGTTACATTACTCGACAGATATCCGTCGATCAAATTTTTTCGTATAAATTTCAATTTTCTCTTTCGAGAGGTAAATTTAAATTTATGGCTCGTCAAGTGAAAATTCGGATCTCGAAGGGTCGGCGAGGAATTGAAATTGAAAAACATCCTACCCCTACATTCTCTCATCCGACCCCTCGTTGATCTTTCCACATCTTTTCCGTCTTGTGAATCTACTAGGTGTTAAAAATTAAAAAAAAAAGAAAAAAAGAAAGAAAGAAACAGATGCACGTGATATCGAACGGCACGAAACGTTGAAATTCGCGTATCCTCCTTTATTTTCGCCTACGCTTGTTTGCCGACGCGAGAATCCACTTTCGAGCCGCGTTTGTTCCTCGAGAGTATTGCGCGGCTTCGCAAGGATGTTACTTAGCGTAGCGTGTAAGACGAATGCTACGTTGCGACGATACTGGATCATTGTACATGTATATACATAAATCGAGAGAGGAAAAATAAAAAGAGTAATACGACGAGCGAGTGGAATTACTTCTCCTCGAGATTTGTCCCTCTTTCTCATTTGTCTCCCTCCCCTGCTTCTCGTGGATTGAACGTAAGCCGGATCGTGAATTAGAGTGGATGATAACACTTGCTACTTGTGCTACTTTCAACGTATCAAGCAATTTCAAACACGATGAGGGTACCCATATGCTCGAATGTATATATATATATATTCTTAGTTTCAATTGTTACTTTAACTTGCAATCTTAGATCGTCTTGCTAGAAGATTTACGATGTTGATACGATGTTATTGGAATAATAACGCGGTTAATTAAATATTTATTTTGAAATATGAATTATATTAAGATCGATCGAATTGAAGTTATTTATTTTTTCATTTTAGAAAAATAGATTCGCATAATAACTTTCTGCATCGTTTTACTGTACATTATCATCGAAACTAAAATCACTGTTTATGAAATAAGCTTAATCTTATCTTTAACGCTTTATTAAATACCAAAGATATTTTTCTATCGTATTATGATTATTTTATACACTTCATTTGTTGCAATAACTTTTCGTTACACTTTTACTTAATTCATACATCACGAACGATTTCACGAGTTAATAGAATTTCCTTTCTTCTTAAGATTAAATATTTTAATACATCGTAATTTCTATTTCTCGTTACCTTTTATTGATATTTTATGATTAAAATTAAATACGAAAGCAAAGAGAATTAAAAATATTATATTAAAGAATGAATCGTCGAAATATTTAAAATAAATACTCACGATCTGTTATAATTATAATTTTAAACCACAGTTTAACATTTTTTCATTTTTCTTTTTTTTTCCTATTAAAATAATTTAATGTCTCTTTTGAATGTCTCTCTCGGTAAGAAAGAATAATCTAGAATTTCAATTTCACAGTAATACGCACGATACTGAATTATCGAGTACGAGTGCAAAATGATCAATATCTGTCGGGAACGAACGATTATAATGAAATAACTTAATTAAAAAAATGATAAACTCGACACGTTTTACTATCTATAATGAAAATAATTTCAATTATCATCGAAACATTATTAATTAATTTCTAAAATAATATAGCATTAAAAGTTTCTATTGTAAATGCAAATTCTTGAATCGAGATTTCTTGAGACCATCTCTCATAACTTTCTTCATATTATTCTGACCCCTCTATTATCCTAATCTTTCCCTACATTAAGTTACTAATTCCTAAAGTTTGCTTTGACAAAGTGTTCTACCTAAAACTTTCATCGTTCCATAATTCTAAGCTCTATTTAGCCTTAAGCAATAATTACTTAACACTCTCTGCTTCTAAGAAATGAAAAAAAAAAAAATAATAATAACTTTCTAATTCCTGTCCGATACGAACGAAACAAAAAAAAAAAAATAGAAAATTATCAAGAATAAAGTTATATAAGGTTCTCGAATAGTTACGTAACTCTTATTATAAGTGGATCGATTCCATTATATCGGAATTAAAGCGAAATCTATGATAAAAAAACATTCTAAAACAATTTTCGTATATCTTCGTATATATTCCATAATAACCCGTTTCCAGATTTTTCCAATCGATACATTTTCCATCGACCTTCCGTTCGAGTATACCTTCACCGTGAATAGACACCTCGCTGGGGTTGATCATTTGTCCCGTTCGCGACGCTTGATGCAGCCTTGAACTCGGAAGAAGGGGTTGGCGATGCGAAAATATCCTTCTCGTGGCGAAGGATAGATCGTGAAAGGGGAGAACGCGCGTTAACGAACGGCACACCTGATGGT